GGAACCTACTTTTTCGTACTCATGAAACGTCCAGAAAGCATGAAATAGCTTGCCCGAAGAATTCAATTACAATACTTCCTTATTGACTTACACTCGGGAAGTAAAAACAAAACAATGTTTTCGTAAAGCTTTAATTAATTTCGACGAATATAATACATATAACACTAATGAAAGTGACACTATACCCGCGTATACAGAATTTAAAGTCCTCAGAAAACTGGCTTTCATTTTTGTAATGAAGTAAGTGGTGAGTTTCTTAAGCATTTGGTGTAAAATGAAAGTATACATGGTATCATGTGATAGTATTTTCGACAGTACACTATGGAAACACTAACCTTCAAGTCCCCCACAAGCTCGCGGCCTCGTTGCATTTAGTGAGGGTTAAGTTGCAGTTTAAGTAGTTAAAACTAAGTACGTTAACAAGTCTTGTTCTCTCAATATTTTTCTCCATAAAACTGAGATGATCTTCGCGTTTTATTTATAATGTGTAGTATAAACGGATATGCGTGATTTGAAGGAAAAACTAACCCTTTTTTGTATGGTACAGTTAGCCATCTCAAGGTTAATTGCTTGGACGCGAGGTTCAGATTTTATTTATTAATTTTTATTCCCGAGGTGTGTAAGTGATTCAAAAAAATAAAAAATACGCAAAAACATCCAGGATTGGATTTCCAAACATAGTTTTAAACACATTTAATGAGTTTTTTGACATTATTAAATTTCTGAAGTGGGTAAGACGTACAACATGTAAAACTCTCAAAAAAAAGGTTATATGCTCATCATAAAGTTATCCCATTGTGTCGAAGTTAAGTTGTTTACAATAGAAAAGGTTTTAGGGTGGTAAATAACGTGTCCACTGCAGCTCGACCGGCTGTTGTTTCGTTCAGGGGCGGCTTTCACTAAATATCTAAACCTAAGCAAGAAATGTTTAGAAGACGATTTATTGTCAACCGGTAACCACACAAAGGTGGTATTTATTTGCGGTCAACTACTTTTATGATGGTCATATAACCTTATAGCTCTTGGGCTACTTTATATCAAGTTGATATCCAGTGAAAAGAAGACTGTAATGAATGGATGCATTATAACAATGTATATATTGAGTATTTTTATTAATTTTGTCATGAAACTGTCTTTACTTTATAAAATGCCTGTTTTTCGCAGTTACTGACCACACCTTTTGACATGATTTTTTATTACATAGGGTACATCTTGATGCGGAATTGTAACAAATTTTTCCTAATTAGATTTTTCAGTATTTAAGTACAAGGAACAGGTCTCAAATTCGGCAAGCCCCCCCATCGCACACGATGTACCTCAGGGCTCAGTATGGTGCCCCTTACTATTTCTGCTCTACATTAATGACTTTTGCAGATACTTGCAGACCTGTTCATTAAGGATACCATTAGTGTCCATGAAAGGGCGCAGTCGAGAACTACTTATTGGTTCCACCTTAATAGGCTAACAACTAATAAAGGTGAATGTATTAAGTACTGTTATTCACTTTAAAAAAAGAAGAAATACCTGCAGAATGCAGCCAATAAATGTAAAAATATTTTCGTACTGCGAAATTTCTAAACCCAAGTTTTCCTTGAAACTCTGAAAATAGCCTATTTTGCTCTTATCCAAGCATAGTTATCATATGGTTTATTGATCTGGGGGGCACTCTAGCTGATGACACCGAATATTTGGTCTACAGTGTAAAGCTGTGAGAGTTTTAGGTGGTTTAAAATAAAGAAAATAAAACATTATTTGACAAGCAACGCTTTTTATAGCATTGAACAATTCTATATTCTGACAAAGATATTTTATGTTTAATTTAAATGTGTATTGTATAGTTTCAATTTGTTGCTTTAATTTTCATGTGCACAAACAATAGCGATATATTGTAATTAAGATACTAATGAACATTATTACTATTATAATGGTATGGTAGTATGTAAAACAATAAATAAACCACGAAAAAGTGTGAACACAACCGTTTTCAAATAAAATAAATTCGTTTTATTGAATCACCCTGTATAAACATACATTTCTAAAAAATATTAAGACATTCATAAATTGCAACTACAGCTAAATTTTTAAACGACATCACCAAGTTTTTGGGGGAGATAAACAGACGAGGCTTACGTTAATCTTAAAATGTTCAAGATTCCAGACCATTCGGATTTGCAAAATCTAAGTTAAATAAATTGTAAAATGTTGTTATGCAATTTTGATTTTTGATCCAAAAATCTCGATCTATAATAAGATCTCTAAAAACATCAAGGCAGATTCAGAAACCACAAGTATAGAAATGTGTTATTTTATAAAATTTAAATGACAACCATTATGGAAATTTACGAGATGATTGTTAGTGGGGATGAGCATTTTAATACGCGATATTCCTAACATACAAATAAAATTTCGGAACACACAGTCCAGTTGTTTCCGACATTGTCTGTCTGGATAATAAAATCGCGAAAAGACCACAGACCACAGGTGGCAACGCGTGTCCTATGTGTTCATACTCCAGGGATCATGAAATGTCGAAAAAAGATTAAATTAACCGTTTACTGGATGGACTGGATAATAATAAAACACCAGTTTTTGATTCAGATTTTTTTTCTTTGATTCTTGAGTTTCTCCAACTCGAAAAAATTCTGGAGTCTCTTGAAGATTCGACTTCTTTAAGTTCGACCGCAATTATTTGCAAAACGAAAAGTTTACGGCAGAAGTTTCATTTTGCTGCAGACGGACAGATTGTGCAAGCCGCATCGACGTGGGCGACTTTGCTTTTCCGATTCCGAACACCGATGCCGGCCTTGTTGTTTCCGACATTTTCATTTAAGTTCGACCGCAATTATTTGCAGAACGAAAAGTTTACAGCAGAAGTTTCATTTTGCTGCAGACAGACAAATTGTGCAAGCCGCATCGACGTGGGCGACTTTTATTTTTCGATTCCGAACGCCGATGCCGGCTAGTTGTTTCCGACATTGCCTCTCTGGATAATAAAATCGCGAAAAGACCACAAACGACAGGTGGCAACGCGTGGCTTATTTGTTCACACTCTAGGAATCATGAAATGTCGAGAAAAGATTAAATTAAACGTTTACTGGAAGGATTGGATAATAATAAAACACCAGTTTTTAATCAAGATTTTTTTCTTTGATTCTTGAGTTTCTCCAACTCGAAAAAATTCTGGAGTCTCTTGAAGATTCGACTTATGTAAGTTCGACCGCAATTATTTGCAGAACGAAAAGTTTACAGTAGAAGTATCATTTTGCTGCAGACAGACAGATTATGCAAGCCGCATCGACGTGGGCGACTTTTATTTTCCGATTCCGAACGCCGATGCCGGCCAGTTGTTTCCGACATTGTCTCTCTGGATAATAAAATCGCGAAAAGACTACAGACGACAGATGGAAACGCGTGGCATTTGTGTTCATACTCTAGGGATCATGAAATGTCGAGAAAAGATTAAATTAAACCGTTTACTGGATGGACTGGATAATAATAAAACACCAGTTTTTAATCAAGATCTTTTTTCTTTGATTCTTTTTTTCTCTAACTCGAAAAAATTCTGGAGTCTCTTGAAGATTCGACTTATTTAAGTTGGACCGCAATTATTTGTTGAACGAAAAGTTTACAGCCGAAGTTTCATTTTGCTGCAGACAGACAGATTGTGCAAGCCGCATCGACGTGGGCGATTTTGATTTTCCGATTCCGAATGCCGCTGCCGGCCAGTTGTTTTCCGACATTATCTGTCTGGAAACGCGTGGCATATTTGTTCATACTCTAGGATCATGAAATGTCGAGAAAACATTAAATTAACCGTTTACGGGATGGACTGGATAATAATACAACACCAGTTTCTAATCAAGATTTTTTTCTTTGATTCTTCTGTTTCTCTAACTCGAAAAAATTCTAGAGTCTCTTGAAGATTCGACTTATCTAAGTTCGACCGCGGTTATTTGCAGAACGAAAAATTTACAGCAGAAGTTTCATTTTGCTGCAGACAAACAGATTGTGCAGGCAGCATCGACGTCTGCGACTTTGATTTTCCGATTTCGAATGCCGATGCCGGTCAGTTGTTTTCCGACATTGTCTGTCTGGAAACGCGTGGCATATTTGTTCATACTTTAGGGATCATGAAATGTCGAGAAAACATTGAATTAACCGTTGACTGGATGGACTGGATAATAATAAAACACCAGTTTTTAATCAAGATTTTTTTTTCTTTGATTCTTGAGTTTCTCTAATTCGAAAAAATTCCAGAGTCTTTTGAAGATTCGACTTATCTAAGTTCGACCGCAGTTATTTGCGGAACGAAAAGTTTACAGCAGAAGTTTCATTTTGCTGCAGACAAACAGATTGTGCAAGCCGCATCGACGTCTGCGATTTTGATTTTCCGATTCCGAATGCCGCTGCCGGCCAGTTGTTTTCCGACATTGTCTGTCTGGAAACGCGTGGCATATTTGTTCATACTTTAGGGATCATGAAATGTGGAGAAAATATTGAATTAACCGTTTACTGGATGGACTGAATAATAATAAAACACCAGTTTTTAATCAAGATTTTTTTTTCTTTGATTCTTGAGTTTCTCTAACTCGAAAAAATTCTAGAGTCCCTTGAAGATTCGACTTATTTAAGTTCGACCGTAATTATTTGCAGAACGAAAATTTTACAGCAGAAGTTTCATTTTGCTGCAGACAGACAGATTGTGCAGGCAGCATCGACGTCGGCGACTTTGATTTTCCGATTCCGAATGCCGGCCGGCGAGGTGAATGTGTGGTCGTCATAACACTTCCACCATTGCTGGTGTGTTACGGTTAACATACGCGCTTGCAGGTAGAAATATTACTCCGGTCCGGTCGTCCGGTACGTCGTACTCGTACTCGTACCGGACTTCTCTCTCTCAGGTGACGAGACAATTGCACTTTCTTTCCGAGTCCGAGTCCTCCTCGTCGGTTTACGTGCGGTTGCTTCGGCAGAGTTCGGTTCTCGGTCATGGCATGCTGTTCTCTGGGCCGTCAGTTCATGCACATTGCTGTGTGTCGTCGGTCAGACCTGCAGCGGCCGTTCGATGGGTTTTTCGCAAATCGAATGCAGATCATTTTTGCTCCGCTTTTAATTGGCTGACCGGGATTTTACCGAATCGACCCCAAATCTAAGCTTGTGAGCCCCGTTCGACCCCGCCGTTACCTTTTTCGTTGCAGTGTTGTTGTGTTTTGTGTGGCGATTTTTTTTAGTTGGGCTTTTTTGCGGCCGCGATGATTTGTGATGTCTGAAAACTTGTGGAAACTGCACGAGCCGGATTTTCCGCTGTGTGATGTTTTTCGCGAACAGACCGAGTGCTATGGAATTTTTATTTAATGTGAGCTTTATTGGACCACCTTCATGTTGCTGAGGTCTTTTCAATGTAGGTATTCGTAGGTGGTTTGAATGTGTGGTTTGTTTTCACAAACACCAACTTGAGCCTCGCACCGATCCTATTTTATTTTATATAATCATGTGTGACCATCAAACATCTCGATTACTAGAACATGTCTGTGCTTGTTCTTAACAATCGTTTTTGCATGACGGCCTCATTATCGCGCTTTATTTAATTAGCATATCGGCTCTTTAAATATTTCGACACTTGCCGTAATTTGTGGTAATATACATACACATTATTTTTTACACTTTGTTACAACATTTAGAAAAAGTGTAAATAATTGATGCCCTTGCTTTTTGCACGACTTTTTCACATAACGAAATTTTCTGGCCTCTTTTCTCACGTACACGTACAATGTCAATAACTTCATTAAATAATAAACCACATAAGAACTAATCTGCCTTTTAAAGTATCAAACGTATTAAGCGATACGTTTATCCAGCATTATTAATGAACACACGTTTTTCATACGTCGTATTCACAAATTGTACGTTTTTTATCTTTTTTTTTCTTCCGCGTTGAATGCCTAATTGATGATTATATTTTAACTTTATTTTCGTATTATTTTTATAATTAAATTCAAACACCGTTATGAAATAATTAGAGATGTAACGAAAATACTTCAAGCGGAAAAGGTTCTCTACTATATTGATACTATAAGAAACGAGCTGCAAATGCCGTAATTATATAAATTAATTATCTTATTATTGTTTGTCTCAAAACCGAACGGTAATTGAGACGGGTAATTATAACACGCGCGTACGAGTTCCGGAACTTCAATGGTTGCGTTTGTGGTTTTACCAAATATTCGAGTGGCTGGAATTATCTAACACTTTTTACATTATAAAATTGTACTCGTTAATAATTTTGAAGTGCTTCTATTGGATTCATTTGAATTTAGCCAAATTTTCAGATAAACCAAACCGGAATATACCGGGTGACACCCTGAAATAAAAAAAACCAAACGTCAATATTTCGTAAAATATTTGTGTGACTAGATTGGGAAAAAATACATTTACAGACACAGAAAAATTAATATTGAGTTCTAATTTCGTATCAAATAAGAATAATTATTTATTATACTATAGTGTGATATGTAGATTACAAATCACGCGAGAAAAAGTTTAGTCGCGGGCGAGGAAGGAGCGTGTGACTAATTTTTTCAAGTGAGATAAAGCCATAACACACGAGTTTAATACATATAAAATTGTATCCAGCACCCGAGTAATATTCGGCAAATATTGATTTTTTATTTAATTTTGACAATTTTCGTGAAAATAACTTATTTTGAGATTTGTTGTCAAAGCTATATGGCAACAGTGAGTTAGACATAAACTCGCAAGTGAGTTGGGATTATACTACTGAATTATAAACCACTTTCTTTACTAAAAATCACCATGGTTATAAGTGTTTCTTTTTTTTACAGTCGTGTTGGAGTTGTCTTGTCAATTTGTATTAGCAAAGTTGTGTGGAGGCTATTTAGAACGTTTCAAAATTAAGCTTCGGTAATTACTGTTGCGAAAGATTTGTATTATCTTGTAATATTGGCATTCCCACATCTCTTCCAGTTCCATTGGATCACATAATCTGCTTTTTAACCTATAATTGCCTCAAGCTTTTCTCTGATTTTATATTAATAATTAATGAGGAATATATTTCAGTTAAACAATGGTTTACACCCTTTGTAGAACACATATATTATACCACATAAACATTTTATTCTCAATCATAGATATGTAATGACATTATTACGTCAATTTTAGTAACCAGAGAAACTATTCATTTCATTACACACTTAGGTGTGTTAAATGCGCCATCAGCGTGGGCAATTTGGAAATGCCGATATTTTTATTTAAATTCAGAATCAGACATTTTCTAATATTTGAGAAAAGTTTAATTTTACCCTCAAACGTTAAGCTACCACTAATATTAAATTTTATTCAGAGGTAACTTGATTATTATGCATAACGTACTTGCACTTTATGAAAATAAACGTTGTGGCGTATTATGTTGTGGCGTATTATTTCTTTTAAATTTGATTTTCGCAGAACTGTTTTGTTAATATTCTGTCCAAAAATACCCATGACCTTAACTTTTTCTTCTTTGAAACTTATGTTTTAACGACAGAAAGAACTTCTTGAAAACTAGCAAATGTAATTTTTTTCTGAATTTTTGATTACCAACTTTTTTGTTCACTGGGTATATTTTATATGTTATTCATGTGTCGAGCCGTTTTTACCCGAAATCTCGGTGTGTTTTCTATTTAGAGTGTGTTCATATGACAATCGTCGATAATTAAAATTTTATGTAAAAAAATCTAGGCCACCCCGTTTTTAGTTGAATTTGATCAAGATCATTTTCGATTTCGAGTTATTGTGCAACGTTGCTCAAACTACGTATACATTAACATGTATTTTCATGTTTCAACTTAATATTTACTGTTACGTAACTGATTGTTAATTGTAGTGAACAAGGTTTATACGGTGTTTATTATTTTATGTATCTAAATTAATGAATCATATGCAGTATTTTCAAAAATCATACAATTTCTTGAATTTTAGTTAAATACGTATTGCAATATTCGCATTACTTACAAGTGCTACATAATTCTCAATCTGCAAGTTTAAATTTTTAAACAAAGATTGTTAGATTTACAAAATAGTTGTAAATTTAAACAAGGTTGAGAAAATTAACAGTTTTAATAATAATTTAACTATTATTTTAAGCAAGAGTTGAGCGGTTTAACAATGGAAACATAATGTCTAGACCGCTAAACTCTCGTTTCCTCGACTTTATGTTTAGTCAGTACTAGACTTCGTGTGAAATTTCAGTTGTGTGATTTGTAATATATCTAGTGCGTCTATTTCCATTTCAATAGTTTATTATTTTATTTTTGAACGAGTGGTAAGACAGCAGAATAGATCAATAAATGTGTACTTTGGAATCAGATGAGCTCACAGTGTTAGTGATATGTGGTTATTAGTCAAGCTTTCACTGATAGAAGTGAGTACAACAAAACTTCCTGTAAACTTTGCTTTCCTGGAGAAATGAACAGAATTTTCTTAAGTGCTGTTGTTGGATATCACACAATGCATACGAAATTTTACGTTTTAATGGACTCAAGTCGATCATATGGTAGCAAAAATATTGATAGTATCCTTTTAAAAATATTTCAAGCTATATATAGTTCAGGTATTAATATTTAACCGCATTTTTTGCCAGACGACGAAAAATGATTTTATCCGGTTTTGTCGTAAAACATCTGTCCATTATAATCCATTTTTAATGCAATAATCTAATGGGAGGACTGAAGCCGCCGGTTGTTTTGTTGTAATCAATAGTTCTTTACTTTTTCCTGCGAACATAACCTTTTAAGCTTATTCTGTATTAATAGAAACGTTAATTTTGCATGCAGAAAATTTGTAGCTTGAAATAAAAATGTGGAAGCACCAAAACAGATAGTCGGTGAATTCACCTGAAATAATCTGGTTTAATATGCCATTCATGGTTAAACAGGTGTGCTATCTTGTAAATGTTTGCCAATAAAAAGTACTTGTGTAGAGCATGCAAATAAAGATTATGTTAACATTTTTATATATTTTGTACAACATTTAAGCACTACGCATTCTTAAAATTTTTGCAGCATGAAACTGGATGTACAGATCCGTTAGAACAATTAAACCATAAACCAAGACGTGTAATTTAAATTTCAAATAACAAGAAGTAAAGTAGCGAAGATTTAGCTTTTAGCACAAATTTATATCCCCGTGACTTTTACTATCCCTCTCTTATTTTTTCCTTTCAATCGTTGCTCCATGTATGTACTTCAATTTTAATTTCTGTAATAGTCCGATTGTGGTATGTATTGAATCACCTTCGCTTTGTTTATCATTGAACTGTAAACGTTCCCACAGCCTTGACGATACCAACTGGGGAGGACTTTTCACTGACGGCGCGCCGTTCTGTTTGCTCTCGACTGAGGTGAGACAGACTGACTGATGACTATTTACCTCTTTTTATCATTTCCAAATTTGACGAATTTTTTACTTTCGAAGTCTCAAGGTGCACTTTTTTTCGAAAATAGCGTGAGCTGTTAGAAGCATCGAGCTAAAATGTTTACCACCACATCCGTGCGGGGGAGTTTTAAAGGTTTAATTCGAAAAAAAGGAAAGCGTAAAGGCGTAAAGGCGTAAAGGATTAATATTTACACTTGCCGAGGTCGGAATAAGCACAGACGTAACGATACAAAGGATGTTATGGTTTCATGCAATTTGCAATTTTATTTATTTGATGGAGAAAGTGTTGTGATTTATTGTACTTAGGACTGATGCGTTTCAATGAGTGAGTACAGTTATTGTGATGTAAAGTCATTGTTATCACTGTAAATATGCAAGTCTGTTTCTGCATGATATGTTCACAGACCATGTGCAGTTAACTTGTTTGGAAAGCGAAATAATGAAACTAGTCGAATTTTTAATTTCTGATTTTAATAACAGTATTTTTTTGTTCGTGGGTAACGACAGTTGGGAAACCCACATTTACTGAAGCAGAATATAAATGTGACACGAAAAGAGTCGAAATATGTTGATAGACACGTAAATCCTATTTCAATTTTACAAAATAATATGCGTTTATAATTGTGCTTTATTGTAATAATTAATATAAATTCTAACTTAGAAACTACAAAACTGGATGCGTAGAAATTTTGCAAACATTTTAAGATTATCATAAGCGTATTAAATCATTTATCAAAATTTATATGTTTATCTTCTTCAAAAAGTCAGTAACGCCATCTCAAAATTTTACTGGGTAAATTCTATCTAAAATGTGCAAAACTTAAAAAAATTATCAGCACTTCCATACTTTTAAAAATTGCTTACACAAGGGTGCTTCTTTGCATTTAGTTTAACAATCTACAGCTATTTTTGTTTTAATTTTTAGTAAAATTCGAGGGATCAAATTTTTTAATTAAGTAAAATCGGAATAGAAACGAACGTTGAACGAACTTGCTAAATTTAGAGAGTGTTTATTGACGTTTCTTTTTTCTTTTTAGTTAAAAACTACTTCAAATTCGGCGAAATTTAAAAATAATTAATGCTTTGTTGGCTAAAATAAATTGTATGTTCCTATTTAATCTTTTCTTTTTATGACCAAGTCTTACCTCTTAAAAATGTTTTAAAATATTGGTTCCTAAAACGCGTGTAAAAATGTAACTTGGATCTGTTTCCAGTTTATAATTTTATTTTATATTTTTTTAGATGTAGCATGACACGAACGTTCGTGTGCAGGCTCCCCTGTTGGTGTATCCACTTTTTTATTCTTTCTCTCCTCTTCTAGGTAGATAAATAATAAATGTTTATCTGCCGGTAATAACTGGTTCAATAGGATGGATAAAAATACTACAATATGCGATCCACGTATGGTCACCCAACAAACTCCACCTTTCCACAAACTAGTTATTATCTGAATTGCGTCCACTTTTAAAACTTTATTTTTGCCATTAGACTACTTATCAACGTATCGAATTTCGATTATAAATGTACTCGTTAGGATAATTACCTCAATATCATTACTTCTTCCGCCTTTTTATTGCATACTCGCTAATTTCCGTCGTTCGGTTTGATATCCTTTGACCATTAAGCTGAGTTATACTTTATCGATCTACTAAATCGTACAGTTACAATAATTACAGCTTCTACGAAATTCTTATTGAAAGCTTTAAAATAACGAAGTTCACGAGTAACAATCCAATTATTATTAATCACGATGCGAGCAATTAAGCACCGTAACTGCCGTGGAAATGAAGTGGGCTTTAATTTTTGTTTGTTTTCAGTGGCGCACGTGATGTGGCCGGCATGGGGCCATCCCGCCGAGGCGGCGGCGGCGGCGAGCCCCCTGCCTCTCGTCCTCCGGTGCCTGGCGCAAGCACTCGCCACCGGCTTCCACCGCTTCCTAGCAAGATTTTCAGGTCAGTAACCTTTTCCCCCCGATATGCTTTTATCAAGATAAAACACAAAAAATATCCACTAAATCTTGACTTTTTATTGTATTATCGGCGCTCCACTCAGTTAAACTCGTGACAGTTTTATGGTAATTTTTTTTTTAAGTTTAGTTTCATTCAGACTGATGTCTTTAAGGGCAAAGGATAACATTTTGCCTTTGTTGTCATTATTAGAATGTTTTTATTTTTTTTTATTTATTACTCCTATTAATTAATTAATTTTAATGGCGTTTCACAAGTCGTAGCATACGAAATGCAGGTTTCCCACTCCTGTCGGTTTGTCAGCAAAGTTAAAAGGATTTCAAAGATTATTTAGAACTTTTAAGTGGACTTTATGATTGTAATGTTGTGCAACAGTTTCTTCTAAAAAATAAGTTCATATCTTACATAATAATTAATGCTACAATATAATTTATTTATTTATTCCCTCTGGAAAATTGACGCCATAAAAAATTACGAAATATGTCGTTATTTTTAGTTTTTTTTTTTTTGCTAGAATTATTTCAGAGCTACTTATCTCAAAAAATAAGAGTATGGAATATGAAATAAGGTTGATACACTGAAAATGGTTCATGTAATTTCCTATAAAAGAGGCATATTTATGTTAATACACTTTCATAGTTTCTATTCATGTCTGAGATATTGCACTGACCGGAAATTCGGCATTAAAGGATTTGTAAAATAAGCAGTTTATCTGTAAAAACAAAAGCGAATAAAACTCATTGAAGTTCCGAAAAAAAGTGTTTGATCATCGTGACTTCCGGCGAGCATATTATATTGAAGAATACCAACTTCCGTTATTTATACATTACGGAAAGGTGACGTGTGTTCATTGAACAATTAATCGATTGTTTTTCTTGATAATTTCGCTTATTCATAGTGTAATTTTTGTGAAACTTTCTAATTCGCATTTGTTTCGTGGAGTTTATTTATCATGTTAAATTCCAACTTTCTTATTTCGTATTGGGTTTTTTAATTACAATGATAAACCTGTATGTTTACCTAAAACAAAAACGTGTATTTTGTTAAGGAAATTCCCTGCCAATCATGAAACTAGGGGGTCATTTGACTAGTTCAAATGTCTTTTATATTTACTGTAGTGCTGCAAGGAGCATGAATGATTTATTAAAATTTTTAAAATTATATATATATAATTATATATCTTGTCATTAACTGACGTAAAGTGAAGCCTGTAATTTTTGAATTAATGTCATCATTAACTTTTCGCAAGAAATAACGTAGTTGGACTACGGATGCTAAAGACTTAAATTAGAATAACAGATCAGAACTGTAACGTTTGTGCAGAATTAATTATCATGCTTTAAGTTAATGAAACGTCAGTTTAAGGAAAGAAATCTGCTTTAGTTTTGCACGATCATATTTTTTTTAATTACGGCTTTTTCTTAGTAATTTACAATTCTTACGTTTTCTGTCGTTTACAAGGAAGTCTGATTTTTTTTATAGTGATGTGTCTTACTTTAAAAAACCACTGCGATCGCAACCACTATCCTGTAAATCAGTAGTTCCCACCGCTTTTTAATACGAGTCAATAAAACCAGCAACAGCACATTATTTGCGACTTTTAAAAATGTTAAAGAAGTTATATAATCAAGATTGTACGACATATTTAATGTGTATTAAAAGACATGATAAGTATTGATATGGATAAAAATAAACGTAGACCGCTAGAATTTTTCTAACGGCTTGATTTTATACTGTTCAACTTTCCATTCAATTTGGATTTTACCACATGTATTAGTGCTCCATGCATAAAGTGCACACGGATATGTTGATACCCATCCTAATCGATTGCCGATGTTCATCTTTGAAGCAATATTGTGTCCCTCGAGGTATTTTAACGAGAATTTTCATCTCTTGATGAGTTTTTAGCCTCCGAATAACATACTTCTTAGTGGACGTGTGTTGGGAATGTCGGAAGGGATCAGCAATCTTCTTGGTTGAGAGCACGCGTGAGTGGCGCCGCCCACGCACTTGAATCCGCAATTGGACACTTCCTTTCCGAATTACCACGTTCGTCGGCACACTTACGGACCACCACCTGATTATACGGCTATTTGCTTGTAATGTCTTAAACACTCGAGTGTTGACAACGGTGGAAACCGTCAATTTGCGAATTGTCCGAGTTAATTCAACCAACTATTCGTGCACTATGTTTGGTCGTTCGGAGCAAGTAAAAGATAGCTTCCGACGGGAATTATTTAATTTGACCAGGAATGCGACAAAGTTTTTGTCGTCATTTTAATTTTAAATAGGGATGTGTGAATTGCCACAACACGAACTATATTACACAATATTATGTCTACTGATAGATTTAGATTCAATCATTTTTTATTTTTAGATCGTGAGACATAAGAAATAAATCAAATTTTTTATTGGTTTTGGGTGCGTGTGGTAGAATAATGTAGAGTTCTGATGTATAATCCAGACGCCGGTCAGTTGTACTTTTTGCTACTTTGGAACCAGAGGCAGTTCGAAAAGGTTTTTGCGAGATCTTAATTCTCAAGTTTGGCTGATCCGAAAATCCTAAAATCAGTTATTTATAAACCATCGGTAGGTCAACTAAACGTTACGTTCATGGAAGGTATGTAGTTCAGTTTCTGTGGTTATTTCCATAGCGGTTATTGATTAACTCTGGTTTACATAAATCCACCCTAACTGTAAGTAAATGGATAATCTGTGTGATTACGTGGGCGTAATACCAGAACAGTCAACGACATTATGTCTACTAACTATTCGTCGAGTTCTTTTATTGTTTCGTTGCGTTAGTTTATGTATTTTCGAATTTGTTATTTTTCATTGTTGCCACTTTGCTACAGATGTACTTTAACCTGTTTAAAAAAATAACTATTATTGGAAGTTCAACAACCGATGTGTTTGACCGTAAATCGGAGCTATTATTTTTCTGTGTTTGCGTAACTTTATTTGCCATTTGTTATGAAGAGTGTGTACTCTTCCTGTAATATCCTCATTTCTATAATTTAATAAAAATTCAAAAACGGGACTTTGTTGGTTAGAAAATAAATTGAATACTAATGAATTCATTTTATAGTTTTGTCTTTCAAACATTTTGTGTGCCATCGACGATACCCTAAAATATCTCCGTTTAATACTAATTTCATTTATACCGTGCATTCTTAAATTTTTTGTGACGTTGAATAATAAATTAGTAATAATTTACATTCAATGAGAGACCTAACATATTGTGGATTAATTTATTTTATGTTTTAAATTAGAAAGCCATTCATCATTACCATCCGCTGTGAAAGAAGATTTATGCAAGTAGTGTGAACTTTTACGGGAAGTTAATCTATATCAGGACGTTAATCTATAATAAATACATTAAAAATGTTAAACTATGTATATCCTGATTAGGGGTATGATTTTTAAACATTGACTACCAGTGGCGTCCGTCACACCGATATGAAGGAACCTGCACTGATTTAACTGGAAATCCCAGTGTTTAACATCGATGTAAAATTTAAGATATTTATTAAAAATATTTAGTTGAAGTTTAGTTGTGTCTATATTTTTTGCTGTTTGTTCTTTTTCCCTTGTTTGTCAAGTTTTTTTTTTTTCGATTAAACTAGTGGCAGCCTAATAATTACCAGTACAGATGTAACTATTTTCAAACTAAAATTAGGTAAGGAAAAAATCTAGTCTTGAAATGGTTGTTAATTTACGGGTTGCAAAATACTCATTTAGCTGGCTATTTTACGAGCAGCCGGCTCGATAATGAAGGAAACGAAATATAAAAGCGTACCCCGATCTGCATAAATAATCACAGTTTAGATCATACAAAAATTACACGTTTGAGTAAAGTGTCTTCCTCCCTCATGAAATTACCATCCGTTTTTATCAGAAAGTAGTAGCAATAAACTCCATTTAAAAGACGTGAGTGAAACCGTTACATCGTAAAATACTTGTAATTTTACAATCAAATTCGGCTCTCAAGAATCTGATATGGTTAAGATTTCCCTCATTACAATAAATACGCCGTGAAATGAATTAATATTACGGCTAAATACAATAACTGCCATGAAAGTGGTATTTGTTCGATTTGTACCTATTTTACGTTTACTATATTTCACTTGAATACAAAAAGTTTTTAATCTTCTCAGTGAAACGTTATATTCACATTTCATTTCTAACCGAACTTTACACTTGGATTCGGTCAGTAGGTAAACGGAACGAGTCGAAGGAACTATTGTTGAATTAAAACAACAAACTTGCAAATTAAAACATCCAACATGAGTTTTAGGAAACATAAAACTGCAACGAAGCAGTGCCGTTTAATCTGATTTTCATCGTGCTAATTGGTAGGTAATTTTGGTTAAAACGATTTTCATGTAAATGAACTGCAGACTTCTAGGTTATAAAATATTTGGGTTTTTTTTCTCAGGGTTCAATAAAGTTTTTCGAATTTAAAATTTCAGTGAACGTTTTAGAAAGAAATATATTTAACGAAATATTTTTATTGCGTTTGGTTAAAGTCTGCACAAATTATTGTAACCTTGTTCTCCTATTACTGAAAATAGGAACGTAGGCAGATTAGGACCACTGCGTGATAGTTTATACCGATATTAGGGTCGTAATGGTTGAATACAAGTGCTGCACACTGAAAAAACGGCTTCAATTAGATGGAAAGTTGCTTAAACATATTTAATTGTGGATGTAATAAAGTAATAGATCTGTTACGATTACCCTACAACTAGTTTTGCGTAATTTACGGCAACTAATTTAGAATAAACGCTTTTGCGATTTTGAAAGACGTTTTAACTGCTGGTCATTGTTTCCAAACCAGACAGTTGCGTGTTAAGCAGCGTCTGTCTGATTTGCGAAATGTTGAGTCCTAAAATAGACGCAGTTAAATAGATTTTTGTTAAATCGGCAGAGTATGGTGGTCATTTATCTAATGTCCATCATGGTCTGGAATGCTTGAAAGATGA